TCTCTATCTCTATCTCTATCTCTATGTATGTTTGTTTGTCATTAGCTCTTATGAGTACAGTACTTGTCTATCACCTCGCTCTACTAGACAAACTTGTGATTTGCTGTGATGCTAGAAGCTATGCCACTCAGGTATCAGCAGGGCCACACATCGTGAGCAGGCTTCCCCTGAGCTCCCAGAGAAGACAAAACCAGAAGAAGGATTGCCCATCCACTTCTGAAATAACAGGCCTTCAAAACGCTGTGAACAAAGAGGAAGACCAGATATAGCACTAGAGATAGAGACCTCTGATTGGAAGATAGGAAAATAAGAGGGGGAACAGCTGCAATCAGCAACTAATAACTAGAACATGGGGTGTAGGCATTTAGGAATATTTAAGTTTTAAAAAATGAACTGGAATGCAGGACTATCAACATTATAGGCACAGTGAGCTGAAATGAATGAGCATCAGCCACTTTGCCTCAATCTCTCACACATACACTCTATTATGCTGTAAATGAAAACTTGAGAAAGAGTAGTGTCACATTTATAGTCAAAAGACCATTTTGAGGTTCATCCTGAAGTACAATGTTGTGAGGGAGAGGATACTATCCATATGTATCCAAGGGAGACCTGTTAATACAACTATCACTCAAATATAGGCACCAACAGCAGAAGCAAAAGATGATAAAATTGAGAATTTCTACCAACTTCAGCAAACTTGCTTGCTGAAAGAGACTTGCTGCAGAAGGTTAACACTGCAGCCTTCACTATAGATTACATCTCAATCAAGAAAACAAAAATCCTCACCACTGAACTGATAGGGAACATAATGATAGCTGGAGAAAAGATTGAAAATGTCAATGACTTCACCTTACTTAGAGTCATAATCAATACATTTAGTACCAGCAGCCAGGAGATTAAAAGACACATTAGAGTGTGAAAGTCTGTAGTCAGGGACCTCTTCAAATTATTGAGGAGCAATGCTGTCAGTTTGAAGACTAAGGTGCATATGATTCAGCCATAGTCTTTTCAGTCACTTGTTATGCATCTGGGAGCTGGACAATGAATATGAATGATAGACAAAGAGTTGATGCCTTTCAGCTGTGCTGTTGGAGAAGGGCACTGAATATCCCTAGGATGGCCAAAAGAACAAGCAGATATGTCTTGGAGAAGGTGCAGCCCGAGTGCCCCTTGGAAACAAGGATGATGAAGTTGTGTCTCCCATACTTTGGACAAGTTGCTAGAAGGGGTTATTCCTTGGAGAAGGACATCATACTTGGGAAGGTGGAGGGATGGCCAAGGAGAAGAAGACGCTCAACCAGGTCGATTGACACAGTGACTTCAGCAATAGGATCGAGGGTGTCAGAGATAGTGAAGATGTCACAAGACAGGACAAGATTCAGATCCACCGTTCCTAGGGTCACTGTGAGTCGTACTTGACTCAGTGACACCTGATAACAGTAACAACCAACTCTGAAAATTTTATATTGGTTTGCATACAGAATTCATATACTTTGTGTTTAATTCATGTGCATTGTGTTTCACACATTCCTTTATTCCCATTATGTTTCATATGATCATTCCTATACATTGTGTTTTATAAAATTTATCACCCTTGATCAATGCCCACAACAACCAATGTCTGCAGTCTGAAATAGATGGAGCATGCAATCAAGATTCATTAGTAATAATTGGTGACTGGAACACAAAAGTTGGGAACAAAGAAGGAAGATCTGTAGCTGGAAATTACAGACTTGGTGACTTGGTGAAATGAATCTGGAGACTGAATGATTGAATTTTTCTCAATCAATGATTTATTCATTAAAAATACTTTTTATACAGAAATTCCACTACCGGGAATATACCCTTAAGAAACTATAACTTCTACCCAAGCAGATATATGCACACCCATGTTTATTGCTGCTTTGTTCATAACAGCAAAGAGTTGGAAACAACCCAAGTGCCCATCAACAAACAAATGAATAGAGAAGCTGTGGTATATTCACACAATGAAATACTATGCTGTACAGAAAAACAAGAAACTCATGAAATATTATACAAAATAGGTGACTCTGGAGGACGCTATGCTGAGTGAAATATCTCAGTCACAAATACTGCATAGTGCCACTGTTTTAAAATGGGACTGATCGGGGCTGGAGGAGGGGAGACTGAGAAAGGTGGGATAAATTATGTATACTGTATTGAAACAGATGAGGGAGAGAACTGTTTAAAAAGGATATATGATTAGGTATTATTGTCACGACAGGAGTCCAGAAGGAAGGCTGCACAGTGGAGTGGACTTGGGGGGAGGGATTGTATAACAGTGAAAGAATTTTTCTGTTACTTTTCAAAATGGAGGCTGTATAGTGGAGTGCACTTGGGGTCGGGGTGGAAGATTGCATAACAATAAAATAATTTTTCTTATTTTTCAAAGAGAAGAGCAAACTGTGGGGGAGGGGTGGGCAGGGAGAAAAGTGTAATAATAAAGGAATGGAAATCCAAAGTCTCTGTAAACTTTCATTAAATTTTTTTTTTAAAAAAAGAATAACAGAAATAAATTATTTTACTTCACAATGAACCCACAAAAAACAAATACCTTTTGTAAATACATGAGTGGTGACTATACACATGGACCTCACTCGTTGGATACACAGGAATCAGAGGCTCTTCTTGTGCACCTTACAGCCCTGGAGCTCACTGGAGGGTCAGCTCTGAGTTGGCCCTGACTTGGAAACAATGAGGCGGAGGAAAGCAATGATGAGGGTGGTATTTCATGTCGCCAAACGGTTTGCAGCAGCATCTACATGGTGCCAATTCTCACAAGTGCTCAGTCTTATTTACTATATTGTCCCAGCTACAATTTTTATTCTAACATCCTGTCAAATCTGTGACTGTTCTCAAGCCAATAACCTTTCCTGGCACTTCTTAAAATAAACACATTGATCCCTCAAATTAATAAGCTGAAATATTTGAGTGGTATATTTCATGCACAGTTTGAGGGGAGAGCATCTTTGCACTGTGAAATGGATCAAGTCAATTCTTGCCCTTAGCATAATTAAGTGCATGGAGACAGCCTCCTTTACATATTTAATAAAAAAAAATAAACACATTGCTTTTAACTCAGTTTTGACTCACAGGGAGCCTCCACTGGGTTTCTGAGGCTGGGAACCTCTAGGGGAGGAAGCTACCATGCTTTTTCCTAGAGCAGATGATAGATTCAAACTTCTAACCTTGCAGTTAGCAGCCCAATGCAGGACACACTGCACCACCAGGGCTTCTATGTCACCAAATAGGCAGTTAATCATGACGGGTGCTTTGTATAGAGTTCTAAAGGATTTGACCACTCAGCGTGTCATATTATTTAAACAGAAATTCAAAGTCACTGCAGATATTTGTTCATCATCTCATTGGGCTGATGTAATGGTTTATCACCCTCTTTTCCATCATTCCTCAAGAGTGCATGCTTGGAGTCGGCAAAGGCTATCGGGGTAAGAAGGCGACCACTGCCAGCGGCGTCCCGTGTCAGGAGTGGGCGGCCCAGGAGCCCCACAAGCACAGCATTTTCACTCCAGAGACAAATCCAAGGGCGGGTCTGGAGAAAAATGTAAGTCCCTTTGATTTGAGCTCTCGTCCACCTTTTGCCTGACAACCTTTGCAGACAGAACTGGTCTAGTGTGACAGAAAGGTGGTCAGAACGACTTTCAGTGGCTGAAGGGAGGGGAAACCTGAAGAGGCTTCAGGAGACTGAACTAGAACTGGCACCAGATTGCAGGTCACAGTCAACATGGCGAGCCGACCACCCGTCATATGCTTGGTCTCTTTTTGGTCTTTTGAGCATTTCTCACGTGTTCTGCTGGTTCAAGTTCTAGTGTTTGTCTTCTTGGTTCTGGTGGTTGGAGATGCCTTAAGTGACTCTTGAGTTGGGTTATTCTTTTTTATTTTATTTTATTATTATTATTATTATTTTTTTATGTGTACCATCAAATCAGATCTGACCGGTATAGGAGGAGATTGCCCCTCCTTCTCCAGCAGAGCATCTGGTGGATTTGAACCACATGCCTCTGAGATTACAGTGTAGCATTTTGCCACTAGACCACCAGAGCTCCCTGAGTTGGGTTATTCTTAAAACCCTTTGATGAGGCCCTCAGAATTCTACATAGTGAGTGTCCCTCAGGCTCACCCACTTGGATGATTTTCTCCAGGGGACTTGGAAAAGGAAAGAAAGAAATAATGTACGCAGTCTGTGGAAATAGATGTTTCTGAACCACCAAGGAAATGGTTTTGTCAGGTGGGATGTTGCGACAATAAACCACAGATAAGACTGGCCAGCGGCATTCCAGGGTCCTTACTGCTGTAATCTTCACAATGAAGACCCAGGGAGTGGAGGCTCATTTGATAGAGTCTCCACTTCAGGACCTCCTTGGGACCACCACTCTCCCTAGGAAGTAGCCTCAGAGTCTGAGTTCCTTTCAATTTGGGGACATGGCCAATGGCACAGTGGGATTCAAAGCTTTTATAAACATCCTCAAAGTAACTTTGTCAATTCTCCCCCTTAAAAAAGGCACAGGATATTTGATCTTCTAAGAACAGAAGTGAGGTGCCAATGCCATGGGATACCTGCCCCTCCCTTCTGGCCTTCATGTGGGTGGGATCGTAGACTTCTGCCTGTTTTCTAGTACTGCCGCAACCCAGACGGAGATGTGAATGGTCCTTGGTGCTACACGATGAACCCGAGGAAGCTTTTTGACTACTGTGACATTCCTCAGTGTGGTAGGTTGTTGTTTACCCTGTAACCAAGCCAAATGTGTTGCTGTCAAGTTGGCTGCAACTCACAGCACACCCTGTAGGACAGAGCACCACTGTGCCCTGGGGCTTCCAGAGATGGACATCTTCATAGGACAGATTCCTTTGCTCCTGCATAGCTGGTGAGCAGTTGGTGAGTCCTGAAAGAACACGAGACCTTGGTGTTTTCCACATGAGCGAGAAGACAAGAAACAAAGAACCAGGGCTCCAAACTGGTTCATTCCCACACGATCCCTTGGGTAGAATTTGCTTTCCACATTGACATACTGAACCATGTCTATAGCTTAATGGGGTCCTTATTTGATTGTTATGTTTTCATAAGGAAAGACTTACACTTAGAAACAAATGTGGAAGGCGAACAAGAATGAGAGCGGAGAGAGAAGGAGCAGAGATTAGCAAATGGATGGGGAAGGAAAGAGAGGGGACTGTGACGTGTCAATAAGACATGAATAATGGCATTATCAAGGCAGCTTCCACTTCCTCTTCATGATCATTGGCTCCTGTTCAGATGGTTCTTCCTGAAGTTTTCAGTATCAATCAATTCTTTCTGGTACAGTGACTCTGTGTATTCCTTCCATCTTCTTTTGATGCTTTCTGAGCCATTCAATATATTGCCCATAGCACATTGCAACACAATGCTTAGATTTGTTTTTTCAGCTATTTCCACTTGAGAAATGCAGAGTGGATTCTTCCCCTTTTATTCTCCAATTCCAGCTCTCTGCACATTCCTTTATACTACTTTGCTTTGTCCTCCCAAGCTGCCCTTTGAAATTGTATGTTCAGCTCTTTCACTTCAACATGTTTTCCTTTAGGTTTGGCTTCTCGATGCTCCAGTGCAATCTTCACAGTCTCTTCTGACATCTATTTCAATTTTTTTCTTTGTCCTCTGTTTGTGTCATGACGTTTTGTTTTCTTCATGGATAATATCCTTGATATCATCCTACAACTCATCTGGTTTTCTGTTATTGGTGTTCAATGCCTCAAATCTTTAGGATGGATCATGAAATTCAGATGGAATTGATTCAAAATCGTATCTTGGTTCCTGTGAACTTATTTGAATTTTGTTCGGCCTCAACTTGAACTTGCATATGAATAATTAATAATCTGACCCACAGTCTGCCCTGGCCTGGTTTTGACTGCTGATATTGAGCTTCTACAATGATTCCTTCCAAAAATGTAGTCAGTCTGATTCCTATGCAGCCAATCAGGGTGATATCCACGTATAATTTGTCTTTTGTGTTTTTTAGAAAAAGTATTTTCAATGAATAAATCATTATAAATATAAAATTCAATCATTCTATTTCTGGCTTCATTTCTATCACCAAGGCCATATTTTCCAACTACTGTTCCTTCTTCACTGTTTCCTACTTTCTATCTTTGAAGTACACCCTTCCCAATTTTGAACTATGCGATGTTTCCTTGCTCTGTTTTGACGACTGCCTCCTGGTCCAAGTATAGGTTTTGCATAAGTACAATCAAGTGTTCTGGGATTCCCAGTCTTCTCAGAGTCAGCCAGTTTGTTGTATCCACACAGTCAAATGTCTTTGCATAGTCAATGAAACATAGATAGACTTTCCTCTGGTACTCTCTGCTTTCAGTCAAGCTCCATCTGACATTAGCTATAATATCCCTAGTGCTACAGCCTCTTCTAAATCCAGCCTGCATTTCAGGCAGTTCTCTGTTCCCGTTATTTTTGGATAATCTTCCGCAGAATCTTGCTTGCATGTGATATCAGTGATACTGTTAGATAATTTCCACACTCTGTCGGATCAACTTTCTTTGGAATGGGAACAAATATAGATCTCCTCCAGTCAGCTGGCCAGGTGGTTACCCTCCAAATTTCTTGGCACAACTTAGTGAGCACATCCAGGGTAGTGTCTATTTGTTGAAATATGTCAAATGGTATGCCATCAGTTCCTGGGGCCTTACTTTTTGCCAATTCTTTCAGAGCAGCTTGAACTTCTTCCTTCATCACCACAGGCTCTTGCTCATATGTTGTTTGATGAAATTCTTCTGTGTCCACCAATTCCTTTTGGTACAATGACCCTGTAAACTCTTTCCATCTTTTTTAAATGCTTCCTGGATCATTTAATATTCTTCCCAAAGCATCCTTAAGTATTGCAACTTGAAGAGGCCACCATAGCACCAGGATATCACTGCTGATGTTAGATGAATCTTGGCTGAAAGCAGAGAATATAAAATGAATGTTTATTTGTATTTCACTGGCAATGCAAAGGCATTTGACTATGTGAGTCATAACAAGTTGTGGCTGACATTGAGAAGAAGGGGAATCCTAAAACACTTAATTATGCTCATGTGGAATCTATATGTAGACCAGGAAGCTGTTGTTCAAACAAAACAAGGGAACACTGCATGGTTTAAGATCAAGAAAGATATGTGTCAGGACTGTATTTTTCCCCCTCCATACTTACTCAGTCTGTATGCTAAGCAAATCATTTGAAAAGTCAGACTTTATTAAAAAGAATGTGTAATAAGGTTTGGAGGAAAGCTCACCAACAATCTGCATTATGCAGAGGATATCAGCCTTGCTTGTTGAAAGTGAGGACTTGAAATGCTTGCTACGGAAGATCAAAGATCTTCTATATGGATTACATCTCAACATCAAGAAAACAAATATCCTTAGCCTTAGACCAATGGGCAACATCATGATAGATGGAGAGAGGATTAAAGTTGTCAACAATTTCATCTTATCTGTATCCACAAGCCCTTGGCACCAGCAGTCAAGAAATCAAAAGATGAGTTGCACTGGGAAAATCTGAGGTCAAGGATCTCTTGAAAGTCCTAGAGAGAAGTGATGTTAATTTAAAGAGTAAGGTGCACTGATTTAAGTCATGGGTTTTTTTTTTTTCTCAGTTACTTGCTAAGCATCTAAAAGTTGGACAATGACTAAGGATGACAGAAGAAGACTTAATAATTTTGAATTGTGGCATTGGAGAAGGGTCCTAAACATCCTGTGGACTGCCAAAAGAACAAACAAATATGTCTTGGAGAAAGTGCAAGCAGGGTGCTCCTTGAGCAAAGACAGTGAAAGTTTCTCTCATATACCTTGAACATATTGTTAAGAAAGGTTATTCCTTGGAAAAAAGATATCAAGCTTGGAAAGGTAGAGGGTCAGTGAAAGAGAAGAAGATTCCCAATTAGACGGATTGACACAGTGACTCTAACAATGGGCTCAAGTACATCAGAGATGATAAGTATGGTACAGGTCCAGGCATGGTTCGGACTAACTGCTCATAGGGCCACTGTTAGTCACAGTTGACTCAAAAGCACCTGACAATAAAAACAACAAGATGTGAAGATTGAAAAACAGAGACCTTAGTTATTTCTTCTCACGCACAGTGCTTAGAGAAGTGTCTGGAACACAGCAGGCTCTGAATCTTTGAATAAATATTGCTAAGTGTATAACAAAATGAACGAAGTAATGAATCACAGGTCTCCTAGTATGTCATGTTGTTATGTGCTGTCAAGTCAACTACAACTCATAGCAACTCTATGAACAGTGGCTCTGAACCTGCCCTATGCTGAGCCAACCTCACCATCTCTGACACACCTGGCCTCTTTGCCACAGTCACTGTATCGATCCATCTCATCTAGAGTCTTCCTCTCTTGCCCTAATATTCTGTTTTTCCAAGTATGAAGTCCTTCTCCAATGACTGGCCCCTTCCCACAACATGCCCAAAGGATGTCAGACGGTGTTTAAAATCCTTGCCTTTAAGAAGCAACCTCATTTTACCCTCTGAAGGACAAACCTGTTTGTTCTCTTGGAAGCCCATGGTATGGTCCATTCTCTTCTCCAACACCACAACTCAAAGGCATTCATTCTTCTTCCATCATCCTTAGTCACTTTGCAGCTCTCAGATGCATAGAAAGCAAATGAGAGGATCATGACTTGGATTGGGTGCACTTAAGTCTTTAAACTGACATCGTTGCTCCTTAGCACTCTGGAAATGTCTTGGACAGAACATTTTCCTAGTGCAATTCATCTTTTGAATTCTGACTGCTTGTGCCAAGAATACTGATCGTGGATCCAAGCAAGCTGACCTCTTTAACAACTTCAATTCTTTCTTCATGTATCATGATGCTGCCTACGGGCCCAGTGGAGAAGATTTTTGTTTTCTTTATACTGAAATGTGATCCATGTTGAAGGTTGTGATCTTTGATCTTCTGCAGCTTTTCCAGTCCTCCTGATTCAAGACCTCTTTACTTTCGGTGAACAATATTGTCAGCTGAATAATGCAGGTTGTTGAGAAATCTTTCTCTGATCCCAATGCCACATTCTTTTTAATAAAGGCCAGCTTTTTAAATTATCTGTTTAGCATATAGATAGAAAGTTTATGGAGAAAGGCTACATTCCTGACACACTCCTTTCTTGGTTTTAAGCCATGTAGTATTCCCTCGTTCTGTTAGGACAACAACTTCTTGGTCTAGGTCTGTCTCCTATGAGCACAACTAAGTGTCCAGGGATTTCCATTCTTTTCCATTTTATCCATAATTTGTTATGATCCACACAGTCAAAAGCCTTTACATAGTCAATAAAGGACAAATGGACATCCTTCTGGTACTCTCTGTTTTCAGCCGAGATCTAACTGACATCAGCAATGATATCCCTGGTGCCACGGCCTCTTCTAAATCTTTCTGGTATTTCTGATAGTTCTCTATCAATGTACTGTTCTAGCTGTTTTGGATAATTTTCAGCAAGAGTTTGCTTGCATGTGATATTAATGATATTTTTTTCTATAGTTTCCACATTCTGTTGAATCACCTCTCTTGGGAATGGGAGTAACTATGGATCTCTTCCAGTTAGTTGGCCAGGTAGTTGTACTACAGATTTCTTGGCAGAGTCTGGTGAGCACATTGTGGGCTGCATTTTTGTTTTGTTTTGTTTCTTTTGTTGAAATATTTCAATCGATATTCCATCAATTCCAGGGCCTTATTTTTTGCCAATGATTTCAGAGAAACTTGAACTTCTTCATTTATTACCATTGGTTCTTGATCACATGCTGCTTCCTGATAAGGTTCTGTGTCAGCTAAATCTGTGTATTCCTTCCATCTTCTTTTAATGCTTCCTGATTGCTTGAGATTTTGTCCATCGCATCTTTAAATATTACAAGTCAAGGCTTGAATTTGTTCTTCAGTTCCCTCAGCTTGAGAAATGCTGAGGGGGCCCTTCCCTTTTGCTTCTTTGACTCCAGCTCTTTGCACATTCCATTATCATGCTTTGTCTTCTCGAGCTGCCCTTTGAAGTCTTCTGTTCAGCACTTTGTATGTAGGTCGGTATTTAAAAGGGCAGCAATTGAAGGTTAAGAATTTTTTAATTCCCTAAAGTGTGGTTTTGCTGGTTTTATTTGGATTATTTTAGAATGGAATCTTTTTAATTGTGACTTTGTCTGATTAAGTTGTTTACATACCTCCCCCTTTCTTTTAAGGTTTTATTGTTCCCTTTCCAAGAAGTTCCTTAGAGATTTTGGATTTTGTTTGTTTTCTTTTTATTTTTTGAAGATTTTATTTTTATTTTGGTAAAAGTTTACGGACCAAATTAGTTTCCCCATTCAACAATTTACATATTTAGTTTTGTGGGATCTTTATTAAAAGAGATCATCTCTTCCCCTGCTTCAAGGCCTCTTACCCTTTGTTGAACATTGCTTGTCCATAGGTGGGTGGATTTTTCCCCCTGGGTTCTTGATTCCCTCCACTTGTCTATGTGTCTGTCATTGTACAAGCACCAGGCTTGTCCACAGGTGGATGGATTTACTCCTGGGTTCTTGATTCTCTTCCACTTGTCTATGTGTGTGTCACCGTACAAGCCCCAGGCTCTTCTGATCTTTCATGGATATAGTGCAGGTTCTGATACTAGCAGGTCTGAGATTTCTGCTTGGTTTTTCTCCAGAAGTGCTTTGCTTAGGGGAGATCTCTTTCCTTTCCACAAAGAGATGGTGATTTGTTTTTCCCTCTCTTTAAAGAATGTTGATGAGACCTGGGTTAGAATTGCATTCTATTCATAGATCTCTTTAGGTAGTACCGATACTTTCTCAATGTTGAACTTTCCAATCCATGAAAATTATTCTTTATTTTGTTTATTTAAGAGAGCACTATTTAAATACATTTTTTCTTAAAATTTCCAAACTTCTATATTGGGTTTTGTTTGTTGGTTTTTTAAAATTCGCAAGGAAAGCTCAATTTTAAAATGAAAAATCTTGTTCTCGTTGAACCATCAATGACATAACATCTATTAACTCTTAGCTGACGCCCAGCAGGTTGTCAGAGGCAGTAAATCAATGGGAGGAGTTTGCCCATCTTTCTTCTAAGAAGCAGCTGGTGGACTGACCCAGTGCTCCAGTGGGCTGACGCACACAACTCCTTACCACTAAGCCACCAGAGCTCTCTAAGGAAAAAAGAAAAAGAACATTTTTAAGCTACACATAAATCTTATGAAACAGTAAACAAGGATGAAAAGGCTGACTGAGAGAAGGCAGTATTTGATCTTGGGTTAGTTATGTTAAACAGTACGGCATTCTTAAGAGGGAGCCCTGGTATCTAGTGATAAGGAGTTACCCCAGCAACCCAAAGGCATGAGATCTGAGCTGCTCTGCGGGAGAAATCGGGGCTAGCCCCTCCCACGACTTCACTGCCTCTGAAAACCTACTGAGGGTTCAGCTACAACAACAACAGCAACCACTTCTAAACTTAGAGAACATTTCCCAGAAGATATTTTCTTTCCACTATTTACCCAGGGCTCTGGGATGCCTAAAATCGACATTTTGGCTGCGAGACGTTAATTATCTTTGAAATAATTGATAAAGCTGTTGCCTTCAAAGGAGCCCTGGTGGTGTAGAGTGTCATGTACTGTACCACTGAGTGTTGGCACTTTGAATCTGCCAGCGGCCCCAAGGGATATAGAGAGGGACACTCCTCCAGTCACTGTTTACAGCTTCCAGAACCCTCGCAGGGTCACTGTGAGTTGGACTCGACCCTATGTTGGTGGGGTTTGGGTTTTGCCAACTTTGACTCCTTCAGATGGATCTTTCCCCAACTTTGTGCCACAGAATCCGCTTCATATGATTGTGGGAAGCCCAAGGTGGAGCCAAAGAAGTGTCCCGGCAGAGTTGTAGGTGGGTGTGTGGCCAATCCGCATTCCTGGCCTTGGCAAGTCAGTCTCCGGACACGGTAAGATCATTTTCTTAAACAATTGATGCCTGCTTTCTGTGCAAGCCCCGTGAAGCCCTTCCAATCTTCACACTGCAAATCTCAGTATTCCTCTAACCTCCTCGAAGGAAATGAACAGTACAAAAATCAACTGACTAAAGCGTAGGAGCTCTGGTGGCCTAGTGGTAAGGAGTTGTGCTGCCAATCTAAAGGCACACGGTTCAAATCCACCAACTGCTCCATGGGAGAAAGATGGACAGTCTCCTCCTGTGTGATTTACTGCCCCTGAAAACCTGCTGAAGGGGTCAGCTCTGGGTCGGTTCCCACTCAACAGTACACAACAACAACAACATAGTATAGTACGGGTTCTCTACTTTGAAAATGTCCAGGATTGGTATTTTTTCCTTGACATTGTCATTAAAATCTGAGGATGTAGCATTCTACACTAAATTTCAATATACCAAAATTTTGCTACAAGTGTTTTGAAGCTGCTTAGGGGATTCACACATTCAGGTAATTATGCAAAATGGGGGAGGGGAATTGTAACGCTAAACCCTGTGACACTGATGTGTCAAATGTGATAATGGTTACCCGTGGTGGACAGTGTTTGGTGGAGCTCCTCAATTAAAACAAGCTTGGAAGCAGGAGTGGCATCCACTTCCGAATGGCTTGCCTTCAGAAACTCTATGACTATGGAGAAAGGATGAAAGTTGTACAAGCGTTCAGGTCTTTCACTCATAGGATCACTATGAGTTGGCTATGACGCGATGGCACTTAACATTTTTAGAAATGTGACACTTTTAAATGAGAGGCAATACAAAACAGTCTATAGTCTATTAGATAAAAAGAGAAAAACCAAATCCACAATCTTTCTTTTCCTTTATAATGCTTTGCATACAAAATTTGTACACACTGTATTTCACAATTTCCTTCATATCACACTGTATTTCATACAATCATTTTCTTACACTGTGTTTTATAAAATCAATCGCCATTGAACTAGGCCCACAATTACCCCATCTTCTCAAATATTTACTGGATCTTTCCTACTTCCTTTACTCCCTCCCTCTGCCACCAAATTGTGTGACCCCCATCATTTCCCCCTGTCCATTCTCACCCCTCTGCTTCCTCTCCTTCCTGCCTTGGGCCTTCATACACATTTTACTAGTTATCCTTCATTTTTAAAATAATTATCCTATGCAATAATTCTCCTATGATACTGAATTCATTCAGCATAATGCTCTCCAGCCTCTCGCATGTTACACAGTATTTTCCAAAATCATTGCTCCTGAGTGCTGCATAGTATTCCATCGTGTGGATGTACCACGATTTCTCAATCCAGTCATTTGTCAAACTGATAACCACTGAGCTGAATCTGATTCATAGCAATGCTCCAGGCCATAGCAGCACTGCCCACAGGGTTCCCAGGGCTGTAACTCTTCATGAGAGGAGAGTGTATCATCTTTCTCCCATAAAGGGGCTGGTCAGTTTGAACCTCTGACCTTCTAGTCAGCAACCAAGTGATTAATCATTGTGCAGACAGAGCTCCTTTTCTATCATACCTGGACTCTTATTTCCCTTTGCACTTTTGTGAGTGTTTAGATTCAGTTCAGAGAGTAACACCCATTTACATCAAATCTCCTCAAGGATAAGCCATAGTCTCCTTACTTTCAGGGGACCAGTTCCGATCCTCCAGGACAGCGTTTGTGAGCTTGCTGTTCTGGAGCACTTCACATACAGCATGCGTACGACACAGTCCCTTACATGTTTGCTTGTCGGGCTTCCTACCTCTCCTGACCCACTACAGAGACTGGCTTCACAAATTCGTCACGTGCCACCAATACACTTGCTTATCTTTTACTTTATTCTGTCATCAAGTGTGTTTTTATCTTGTCACTAAGCAGCTCGTTGCTCTCTGCACAGCTCCTTCGCTTTCTAGTCTTCCCTAAGCTACTCCGTGGTCTATTCCCTGACCGACCTATGAACACATCTACTCTCACATAATTTACTCTCTATATCCTTCTCTTTCATTACAATCTGGCTTAAGGTGGCTCATGCCAGTTGTATAGAGCTACCTATGCAGTTCCTGGAAGATGTGGGATTAAGAGGAAACCCCCTGTGCCCACAGTCAACGCAACTTCTCTCAGACAGAATATACACACTCCCCAGCTTCACTACTCGGCATCACATGTGGCTCCTTGAATTTAGATCTATCAGACCTTTCCTAAACCAAACCACACACACTGCTGTCAAATGAGTCCACCTCCTGGTGACCCTCCAGGAGATTTCTGTGATTGTGAATCGTTGTAGGCAGAGATGGCCCATTCTTCCTTCCGCAGAGAGACTGGCAGAGTTCAACCAGTGACTTCAGTTAGCAGCACAACATATAGCATAATACACCACCCTGGCTCCTGAGAATTTCACAGGTCTTGTGAAAAGGAAAATCAAAGGGGCCCCAAGGGGAAATCCTTAACTAGGCACTCAGCTGGGATCCAGGGCCGACGGGCCAAAGCCATTTTGTGTAGAGAGAAACAGAATGTGTCTGAGCCTCGCCAGATACTTTCACAGAGAGGAGGGGTGGAGTCGTCCTCCAGAAAACCCCGGCACTGGAACCCAACTCAAATTACCACTATCCTACAACAGGCCACCGGTCTTTTTTTTTTCCAGTGGAAGATTTGATTGTTACCATTACCAACATTGTTCAGTGAACGATTCTTTTAAGAATTTTGGGGCAATGGAGCTGAATAAATCATCATATCTGAATTAAAATCCTGGTGTTCTTCTCTAGGTTTGGCATGCACTTCTGCGGAGGCACCTTACTATCACCGGATTGGGTGCTGACTGCCGCCCACTGCCTGGAGAAGTACGTGTGGGCTGTAAATGACCAGTGACTGGGAGACCTTCTCTGGTTCAGGGACACCTCCTTCATCTTCTAGTGCTTTTCTTCTTGCTTTTTTCCTTTGGTCCTTTCCCCCCCCCCATCATGATAATAATATTGTGTAACTACTATAGACCCACTCTATATAAGTAATAATTCCAGCTTGCTCAGTTCTACAATCAACACTCTTGGCACCAGTAGTTAGGAAATAAAAAGATGAATGCATTAGGGAAATCTGCTGTCAAGGACCTCTCCAGAGTGATGAATAACAAGGATAGCAGTCTAGAGACTAAGGTGCACCTGATCCAGGCCATGGTCTTTGTAATTACTCGCTACTCACCAGAGAGCTGGACAATGAGCAAAAATGACAGAAGAAATGATGCCTTTAAGTTGTGGTGCTGGAAAAGAGTTTTGAACATACCATGGACTGCCAAGAGAACCAACAGATCTGTCCTGGACAGGGTGAAGCCAAGTTGCTCCTTGGAAGTAAGGATTTTGAGACTTTGTCTCACATATTTTGGTCATGGAGCCAGAAGAAGCCAGTCTTTGGAGAAGGATATCATGCTTGGAAGTGTCTAGGGACAGTGCAGAAGAGGAAGATCCCAGATGAGATGGATTGACATAATAACGGGGGCAATAGTAATAGGTGTGTCAGAAACAATGACATTGGCTCAGGATAGAGCTGAGTTTAGAGCTGTTATGCATAGGGTCACTATGAGTCGCAAGCAACTTTGCAGCACATAACAAGAATCATTATAGTCAGGACACTCATAATCTAACCAGAGAAATATTATTTTATAATCAGTCAAGTAAGAAAAGTGTAGTATTCTAGATAGAAAACTACCATTAAGAGTGAAAAGAGGGAGCTACAAAGAGCCATGGGGATTCCCTGGATTCCAACAAAACACCAATGAAGAAGGTTTCATGGAGATGGAGATTGGTGACCTGAACCTTGAGAGAAGTGTCGTTCGGTGTGTGTGTGTGTGTGTTTTTTTGTTTGTTTTTTTAAACTTTGTGATTAGGAGGTGGTTGTTGTGTTGTTATGTGCCGTTGAGTCGCTTGCGACTCATAGCGACCCTATGTACAACAGCCCTAAACTGTGCTCTATGCTGTGCCAATCGCACTGTCCCTGACACTCCCATCCCAATTATTCCAGTCACTGAATCAGTCCACCTCATAGAGGGTCTTCCCCTCCTGCGCTGTCCCTCCACCTTACCAGGCATGATGTCCTTCTCCAAGAGGGAGGAGAAAGTGGGCCTGAATTTAGAGGGCCACAAAGGAATAAAAGAGTGATGGGTATGTGATTTCCTGTGTACATAGGGGGGCGGAGTGCCTTTAGTAATTTCCATCTTGTACCAGCCCCGTGCACAACAGATCGACGCACTCCCTGGTCCTGTGCCACTCTCACAGTCTCTGTTCAAGCTGACTCCATGCTGCAGCCACTATAACATCTCTCCTGTGCCTCCTTTTTACTGACTCTCTGTTTTGCCAAGCATGACGTCTTTCTCCAAGACTGGCCCTTTCTGATAGCAGGCTCCAAACATGTGAGATGAAGAAGCCCTATCATCTTTGCCTCAAAGAGACACTCTGGTTTATGTATCTTTTAAGATAGGTTTATTTGTTCTTTTGGTTGTTGATGGTATATTGTGGTATAGGGGTCAGTTCTGATTCAACAGTACATAACAACAACATGATATGCTAAGTATTTTTCACCAATGTCAAGGCAAAGGCATCAACTCAAATGCATCAATTATTCTTCAGTATTCTTTATTCATGATCCAGCCTTCACTGCAGACAGAGTGACTAAAAATACCATGGCTCGGAACAGGTGCCCACATCAGTATTCCTTGCTCTTTAGCACTTTGAGGAAATCTTTGACAGCAGATTTGCCCATTGCAAAGTCATTTAATTTCTTAACAGCTGCTTCCATGGGTGTCGGTCAAGGATCCAAGTACTACAAGTAAGCGAGATAGAAAATAAGAAATCCATCAACAGGATTTTACAAGGACCTGTTCTGTTAGGCTCTGGTGGGCTAGTGGTAAGAAGCTGCACTGCAATCCTCAAGGTGTGTGACTCAAATCCTTCAGCTGCTTCATGGAAGAAAGATGGGCAAGCTCTTCCGGTGCAATTACCTGCCTCTGAAAACCTGCCAGAGGGCCAGCTATGCACTGGTTCCAACTTGATGGTACACAAAAAAGCATTCTGTGTCAAATCCTGTGCCAGGGAGGCAACAACGTCCCAGAAAAAGATGCTGCTTGCAAAGAGAGACAATAAAATAACACTAACATGGTTTATTTATGCCAGTGGGAAAAGATACGTAATAAATATGAAAGCAAATGAATGAATTATGAAGTGCTTCAGAGAAAGCAAACTGGAGTGATGACACAGGCCTAGCAGAGGTGCAAAGGGCTACTCTGAGGCAGCCTGGAAGGTCTTCCTGTGAGGGAAACACCTGAATTGAGATTGGACGATGAAAGAATCCAGCCCTGAAGACATGCAGCAGAAGTGTGTTCTTACGCACAGTAAGTAAAAACCCTTGTGGTGGGAAAACTTGGTGGTGTGACTTTGGGAGTCTTGACTGGCCACCACACAGGGCCTGGATTTTGTTCTCCTTGACTTTGAAGTCTCTGGAGGAATGAGGAAAGAGAGTGGTAGAATCTGATTGTGGTGAAGAATGTTGACCATCTCATGGATTTCCCAAAGAACAAACAAATCTGCCCTGGAAAAGGTGCAGCCAGTAGGTGAAGGTGGTGATTCCTCTTCATACACGTTGGCCATGTTATCAAGAGGGACCAGTCCTTGGAAAATGATGCTTGGCAAAGTGAAGGATCAGGGGAAAAGAGGATGACCCTTCGTCAGAGGGATTAGAATGAATTCTAATGTACAGTCTGTTATGAACCAGAGTCAACTCTACAGAACTCACAACACCGCTGTCACCTCCATCTGGTTCCAAAATGCTTCCTCACTCCAGACAGAAACTCTGTATCCAACAAGTGTTACCTCACCATCCATTTCCTCCAGGTAACTTCAAGTTCACTTCCTGCCTCAGAATTTACTTTAGAAACATCACCTGAAGGGGTTTCTTTTGTTTGATTCACATTTTAAAATCTGTTTCTCTAGCTCTCCTGTAGATAATGGGTTGTCTGGGAAGTAGGCTGGTTAACAGGAGATCACTGATCAGGTGCTTGGTGAGTTGGACAACACAACAAGGAAAATACAGGCTGTTTTTATGGAGGGAGGACAGGGAAGCCCAGGAGCCAATGAGAGGCCAACTGTGGAGGGAAAGGGGGTCTGAACTAGGAAACAGTAGTGAAATAAGCAAAAAGTGTGAGGAAGCTGGAGGCAGAGATCCCAGGACAACATCATGCTCTGTGTAGAAGATGAGAGAGGAAAAGGTTTCCAGAGAAGAGGAAAAGAGCCAGTTGAGGTGCATTCTAGGTCTGGATGTGTGAGGGGAGAGTCACTCGGTGTGTAGTGACCATGAGGTACCAAAACTAGGTGTCTGTCCTTGATCTCACCTCTGTATTGGTTCAGTTTTCCTGGCTGGGGAGACAAAAAGCAACAGTGACATCCTTTAACAGCCAAGTTCAGTTGGATCACGATGTTTGCCATTCAGGAGTTCTTGATTCTGGACCATGGGTGTTGAGGGCAGAAGATGTACATTTTTTGAAGGTTTTTTTGTTGTTGTTGTTGACTCAATTTTCTCTTTTAACCACAGTTTATAAGATAGTGATTGAAGTATTTTTAATTAATTTTAGTGAAAGTTTACAGAGACTTAGATTTTACATTCATTCGTTCATTGTTGCACTTTTCTCTCTGCCCATTCAATTCACTCTTCTCCTTGAAAAGTAAAACTCTTTCATTGTCATGCAATCCCTCCCCTCAAGTCCACTAATATCTAATCATATATCCCTTTTAAATTGTTTTCTTCCTCATCTGTTTCAATGCAATATACATCATTCATCCCCTCCTTCTCCGTCTTCCCTCAACCCCTATGTCAGTCCCATTTTACAATTTCCCTTTGTAATATTTGTCCTTTTGTGACTAGATACTTCACTCAGCATAATGTCCTCCAGGGTCACCCATTTTATATAATATTTCATGATTTCCTTGTTTTTCAGTGCTGTATAGTGTTCCATTGTGTGAATATACCACAGCTTCTCTATCCATTCGTTTGTTGATGGGCACTTGAGTTGTTTCCACCTCTTTGTTATTGCGAACAAAGCCACAATAAACATGGGTGTGCAGAGAAGATGTACTCCCCCCCGCCCCGTTTGAGCCAGCAATTCCACTTCTGGGAATTTACCCTAAAGAAACCATAACTGCCACCCAAGCAGATATACGCACACCCATGTTTATTGCTGCTTTGTTCACAATAGTAAAGAGCTGGAATCAACCCAAGTGCCCATCAACAAACGAACGGATAGAGAAGCTCTGGTATATTCACACAATAGAATACTATGCAGCACTGAAAAACAAGGAACTCATGAAATACTATGCTAAGTGAATGACCCTAGAGGACATTATACTGAGTGAAATATCTCAGTTACAAAAGAAGACATACTTTCAAGGCACAGAAAGGGTCTCATGACGCAGCAGGCCCATATTACTCTCCTCACTTGACCATCTGTTTCAGGTCCAGCAGGCCATCGTTCTACAAGGTTGTCCTGGGTGCACACAGAGAAGTGAATCTTGAACCAGATGTGCAACAAATAGAAGTTTCCGCGCTGTTCCTGGAGCCCTCACGTGCAGATATTGCCTTACTGAAGCTAAAGAGGTATGACTCCCTCCTGGTTTCTCCCCTAAGATGAGGGAACCACTTCCTTTCATGATCGAATGATATCAACCAACTGGCTTTTGTGGAAAGAAGGCTGGATTTCAGTTACAAAGTTGAGGCTACAGCCTAGCATTGCCTCACCCTACCTGATTTGGGAAGAAATCTCCAGGACTCAGTTTCCTCGTGTGTAAAATGAATGAGTTTCTAATATACGAGGTACAATGCTACACCTACAACTCTTTCACTTCATGGTGATGGTTGCTAATACACACTCAGGCTCAGGAAAGTATTCCATTTTCCCAGGCTGGCAAGTCTCCTCCAAGGATAGTCATATCTTCAGGGGAATCTAAGACACCATGCACTTCAAGGTCGTTAAAAACCAGAAAATTATTATCTTCCTCGGTTTTATTTTGCCTTTTGAAATGGTGTATTATTAGTGAGTCTGAAAAAGTGATGACAGCAGTATTTTGCAGCAATTTGAAAAACTCTGAGCTTTCAAGCCAGGTGGCGGTCAGAAGGTAACCAGATGAGAACTGTGATGTTTCTCTTTAGCTCTGCCATCATCACTGACAAAGTCATCCCCGCGTGCCTGCCACCCTCAAATTACGTGGTTGCTGACCGGACAGAATGCTACATCACAGGTTGGGGTGAGACGCAAGGTGAGATCAACAATGTAACTGGTTTCCCCCCACAGCCTATGGGAGAAAATGAGAGTGCTGTCATCACCAGGGCTGGGATCCTTCCGGGTCAAAGGTGGAGCAGCAGCCCTGTTTCACGTGCCAGAAGGAGCATGCCTTTTTCGAGTTCTGAGGGGGCAGTTTGGGGTACTTGATAATGCTCTCGTTTCTGAATATTATTCTGAGTATTATTCTGCCTTCATAATCAGTTGTAGGGCAGCATGCAGGAATTTGCGGCGGTGAATTTCTTGGACCCACTCAGCCTGTAATTTAAACATCATTGTTGTTTTTCCAGGTACACAGGGTTTTGATGTTGTTGTCATGTGCCATTGAGTCACCTGTGACTCATAGACATTCCACATCCAACAGCTTTGAACCCTGCCCTATACTGAGGCTGCTTCACTGACTCCACTGCACCTAAGTCCATTGCCCTAGTGATCCTGTCAATCCATCTCATGCAAGGTCTTCCTCTCCTGTGCTGTCCCTCCATCCTTCCAAGCATGATGTCCTTCTCCAAGATCTGGGCCCTCCTAGCCATGTGCCTAAAGTGTGTGAGATGGAGCTTCAACATCCTAGCCTCCAAGGGGAAACTTGGTTTCACCCTCTTCAAGACAGACCTATTTTTCTCCTGGCGGTCCATAGTATGTTCAATACTCGTCTTCAGCACCACACTCAAAGGCATCAGTTCTGTCATCCTTAATCACCCCCCAGCTCTCTGCTGCAAAACATGTAATTGCAAAGGCCATGGTCTAGATCTAGCACACCTTAGTCTCTAGGCTGACATCACTGCTCCTTAGCATTCTGGAGAGATCCCTGACAGCAGACTTCCCCAATGAAATTTGTCTTTTAGTTTTCTGACTGCTGGTGCCAACATTGTTGATTGTGGAGCTGAGCAAACTTAAATTGTTAACATCCTCAATATCTACTCCAACTATCATGGTGCTGCCAATTGTCCCAGTGGTGAGAATCTTTGTGTTCTTGATGTTGAGCTTCAGTCCATATTGAAGACTACAGTCCTTGACCTTCTGTAGCAGTTTTGCAAGATTGTGTCATCTGCATAATTCAGGTTGTTAATAAGTCTTCCTTCAATCCTGATGCCACATTCCTCCTCAAAGTCCAACCTCTCAAATGATCTGTTCCACATATAGATTGAAAAGTTACGGAGACAAGATGCATTCCTGATGGACTCCTTTCATGATTTTGAACTATGTGGTGTTTCCTTGCTCTGTTCTGATAACTGACTCCTGATCCAAGTACAGGTTTTACATGAGCAGAATAAAGTGTTCTGGGAATCCCATTCTTCTCAAGGTTAGTCACAAGTTGATCTACACAGTCAAATGCCTTTGCATAATCAATGAAGCACAGGTAGACATTAGTCAAATACTGTTTGCTTTCAGCAAAAATCACTCAGACATTGGTGATAATGTCTCTAATGCCATGGCCTTTTCTAAATCCAGATTGTATTTCTGGTAGTTCTCTTTTAATGTACTGTTCTAGTCATTTCTGGATAATCTTCAGCAGTATTTTGTTTGTGTGTGACATTACTGATATTGTTTGATAATTTCCACAGTCTGTCAGTTCACCTTGTTATGGGATAGGAATAAATATGGATTTCTTCCAGTCAGTTAGCCAGGTACTTGTCCGCCAGATTTTTTGGCACAGCCTGACGAGCACATCCAGGGGCAGCATCTGTTTGTTGAAATATGTCAGTTGGTATGCTATCAATTCTTGGGGCTTTATCTTTTGACAATTCCTTCAGAGCAGCTTGAACTTCCTCCTTCAACACCATTGCCTCTTGATCATATGTTGTTTCATGAAATTTTTCTGTGTCAGCAAATTCTTTTTGGTACAGTGACTCTGTATACTCCTTCCATCTTCTTTTAATGTTTCCTGGATCACTTAATATTCTGTCTATCACATCATTAGTTATTGCAACTTGGGCTTGCATTTGTTCTTCTAGCAGGAGTGGCATCCAATTCCTAAATAACATGCCACTGGAAACCCTATGAACTTAGTTAAATGTGGATAGTTGTAGAGGGGCTACAAGCCTTTTATTCACAGGGTCGCTGTGAGTCATGCTTGACTTGAAGGCAATCAACAACAACAACAATATTCTTTCTGCTTAAGAAATGCAGAGTGAGTCTGGCCCTTTTGATTTTATGACTCCAGTTCTTTGCACATTTCATAGTAATACTTTGTCTTCCCACACTGCCCTTTGAAATATTCTGTTCAGCACTTTAACTTCTTGATTTCTTCCCTTTGTTTTGGCTTCTTGGTGCTCTAGTGCAATATTCAGGGTCTATTCTGACACCCACCTTGGTCTTTTCTTCCTCCTCTGTCTTTGTAATGATCTTTTGCACTCTTCCTGGATGATATTCTTGATATCGTCCACAGCTCATCTGGTCTTTGTCCTCCATCAGTGTTCAAGGCCTCAAACCTGTTCCTGAGGTGGTTTTGAAATCCAGGTGGGATAGATTCAAGGTTAAATTTTGGTTCCTGTGGATTTGATTTAAACTTCTTTGGCTTCAGTTTGAACTTGCATGTGAGTAGTTAATGGTCTGTTCCACAATTAGCACCTGGCCTAGTTTTCACAGCTGACATGAAGCTCACACACTGATTGTTAAATGATTTCTCACTTGAAGTTGGCCATACTGTGTCGCCAGCCTGGTGTAAAACAGTAACAACAAAGATAATAGTCACAATAGTCTGCTTCTGATGTGTTTGTGGAGAAGCTGTTCAGGACATAACAGAAGGACAGCTAGGAGAAAGAGGGGAAGACCCCCAGCTCTTCAGTTGTGAGGTGATACTCGGCACAGGTCAAAGTGCAGGGCAAGAGCGGCCATGTTTATGCAGGATTCAGTTCCAGTGTGCTTGGGAATCTCTTAGCTTTGCCATGTACTCTGATAATAATAAAACCCACTGAATTTAGCACCTTGGTCCCAGAATACTGGGATGGTTTCTTGGGATTTCTGCCTCAGTTTCCTCAGAAGGTTGTGGATGGGAATCAGGGGCGTGGGAACTAGTTCCAGCTCTGCATGAACTCTGCGCTCACCAGGTTTCTAACTCGTCTGTAAAAGTGTGTTAGACTGTGTTCTACATGTTAGCTTTCTGCATCAGACTTCAGTTGAAGAGGGGTTTTATGACTGAGGTAAACGGAATCAGTAAATCCCAGAGGTGGAGGAAACAACGAACGTGGTCTCCTGTCTGCTCCTCCTGTCCGACTGTAAACCCTCACCCTCTCAGCTCTGCATGGTTCTCCCATCCTCAGTTTGGAGCCCGCCAGCGTGGAAAGGATGCTATCAGCACGCAAAGCTCATCTGTGGACGACCACGCTGCTCCTGGCTCTCTCCGTCCTTTTCAGCGTAACCAGTACAAGAGTGAGATGTGATTATCCCTGAAGAAGCTTAGTGAGACGTGCAGCATGGTGCCCGGGGAACTGCCTGTCTGGCCAGTGGAGTTGGACGCACTTGAGGCGGGATTCTGACTCACTGCTTACCAGCTGTCGGTCCACAGAGGAGTCCCAGAATCCTGTGGAATTCGCTTACTCGGCTGAGAAATGGCCTAGCAGGCTGCTGCGGTGGGTGGAGGAAACAGAAAATGTGCCCAGAGCACCCAGCACCTCACAGACACCTGACCACAGAAGGGCTGTTTCTCTGCTGTGCTAGAGGGTGTGTCAGACACCAACCTCACAATGACAGAACAATTCAACTCAGCTAGGACTTCCCTGAAAATGGAGAGCCAGTGAGCTGGAAAGTCCGCTAGTTCACTCTGTGCCACCAGGCCCTGCCTCCCTGTGTCCCTGTGCCAGGCTCTCCACACTTGATCGGACAGTCCTTACAGCTCACTGGCGAAGTTTCGTCTCTCAAATAGATTTCTAGAAGATGCGTTTCTAGAAGAGGCTATTTCTTGGCAAGGTGGAGGGTCAGTGAGAGACAGGAAGGCCCTCAACGAGATGGACAGACAGTGACTGCTGCAATGGGCTCAAGTGTGTCAGAGAGGATGAGGGTAGGATGGAATTCATGTTTGTTGTTCATAGGATCGCGGAGTTGTACTCACCTCAATGGCAGCTAAGGACACACACACACACACCAGGGCGAGAGCGAGCGAGAGAGCGAGCGCGAGAGCGAGAGCGAGAAATATGGTGAACTTGCAACAGAAGTTCTAGCTGCGAGGCTACCAGAAAACCAATTCTATAGATTTTATATTTACCTATCTGGGTGAGTTGTAACTTAATCACCTCCCATGTGCATGACATTTGGCAAGTGATTTGACCCCAAATACCTGTTGGAGGGCCAGCTTTGCCAGTTCTGGCCTGACAGCAGTGAGAAAGTAGCTTCCTCTAGGCCTTGATGGCACAATGCCTGCCTTCGTGCTGGGCTGCAACAGGAAAGACTGGACCTTCCCTGGAGAAAGATGGGCCCGTCTTCTGCCGTGAAGGTTCACAGCCTGGAGACTGCTATGAGTAAGGAGGTGCGCGTTTCACACCTCGGTCCATTCCTGGTGGCACACTGGGCTGCTGATCAGAAGGTCTCAGCAGAACGCAGCCCGCAGTGATTCTGAGAAAGCCTGCAGTTCTGCTGTCAGAGGTCAGGGCCACGAAACCCCAGTGGGGCCGTTCTGCCGTGAGTCAGAGAGCAGAGCCAACCCACAGGACCTGCCACCGTCCCCTGACCTGTGGGATAGAGGTAGTGACGGTGCCCCCGTAGGGATGTGAGGACAACCGTGTGCACTGGGGATGCATTTCACTAACGCCCGAGATTCTTTTCTTTCCTCTTCTCCTTCTCCATCAGCAGCAGTAAACATCACGTAGCTAGTGTGTGCTGAGCCTCATAGGACCCCGTGGGCTCACCCTAGAGCCCATCACCACCCCTCTGGTCCCTCTTCTCCCCGTAACCTATACTCCTGACGGAGTCTTCAGTCTGATCATGCATCTATCAGTTCTAACTGTGATTCTCAGAAGATTAACTGGACCAGGAAGTTAC